TCAAACCACGAGTCCAGGAACCAGCTCACATGCAGCTGGCAGTAGGGTTTGGGATGAGGCCCCTAACCAAAAAATTGGTAACCTTGGACATTTGTTGACAAAGGCTGGTCCCTGTTTTCACTTCTTGACCTTGGATACTTTAGGTCGTTTTGATTTTGGTGGATTTGCTTCTGCCACTTTGGCATCCGCTCCTGCCACACCAGCATCCCCTTGAGACTTTGTCCCAAAATCCCTCAGCTTTAAGTCCTGTGCAGCCTTCTTTTGGGCTGCCGCAAGTCGGCAATCAGGATCTTTGAAACCATGGAGCTGTGCTTTCTTCCTTAATATGGCCCAAGGATGTGTTGTGATGTTTGGTGTTTTGAATACCACTCGAATCAAAGTGCAAATAAAATTCCACAAACACCTCGAACCTGTCCGAGCATCATGCTCGTATATGTGCTGTCACCCTTCTTGAACATTTTGTATATTTGACCCGCAGCCTTTCCGGTAAGGCGGTAGCGAAGCTCTACCAACCACCCGTCCTCCAGGCAGACAGTCGCTAACAGCTCAGTGTTCCTTAGCTTTTGTTTTACACATAGCATTAGACCAGTTAAGTGCTTGCAAACCAAAGGTTAAAAAACCTAGTCCAAATGCAATTCAAGCTCGAACGGGAACGGGATCCCTTTGTGGTTCTTCTTTGCGCAATGAGGGCCAATTGTTCAGCAGGGGTTGCTATTTTGCTTCCCAATTTCTGGATTGCTACTTGTTGCACTCTGTTGATAGCAATGCGGAAGGCATTTTTGGCCAGGTCCTCAAACTTCTCTGTTTTCAGGAGGGTTGCCACCTGGGACATTGCCAGCTCAAATGCCAACCAACCATTTATACAGTGACACCTGTTCTTTGGACCAGCGCACCAGGCCTCACCACGTGACTGGTGTCCTTTCGTGGCAGTGACAGAGGCAGCTTCCGGAGTCGAAGTCCCTGACAGTTTGCCTAAGATGTAGCAGGGATTTCACATGTGCACCAAGAAGAGAACCAACACTTGAAAATCTATCAAAGTTAGTCAAAGTGCCATTCGATTTTTGACGGACACGGTGGGTAGGAGGCTCTGGCTTAGGCATGCTCTTGGCCACAGCTTCCACTCCAAGGCCTTTACTCAAACCTTCATCCTCAGGCTCTATCTTGACCTGCTCAGTTTTGACCTCATCTTTAATTTCCTTCTTTTCCTCCTTCTCGTTCTTCTCACTCTTGCGCTTTCTCGAGCCTTGTTTTTCTCCTTCCTTGTCATCCTGTTTTGTTTCCTTCCTCTCACTCTTGTGCTTCTTCGAGTTGTTCTTTGGTTCTTCCTTGACATCCACATCACCTTCCTTCAAGTCATCACTCTTTGTTCCTTTCTCATCCTTCCGCTTCTTCGGGCCCTCAGCTCCTGCCTTGTTCTCCTCCTTTCGTTTCTTTGTTCCTTCCTGGTCTTCCTTTTTCTTCTCTTCCATCACCTTTGCCTTGGAACGGATGTGTGCCATACGCTCACTTGGATGTATTGTCTTCTTGGCCCTGGGCGCACCTTCAACGGTCTTTTGCGTTCTTTCAACAGCCTTCTCTTCTTTCCTTGGGCTACTCTTTTTCACTGATGTTTCCTTTTCATCCGTTTCATCTTTGGTTTTGGCATCCTTGAGATCATTTTCGGCATCCATTGGTTCATCGTCTGAACAATTGAGCAATTTCTCAACTTCACTGTCAGAACTCGAAGAACTTGATGAGGAGCTGGAGCTTGATGAGGAATCATCACCATCCTTTCCACCATTTTGAACCTGACCCTTTGCCTTAGTTGGGTCTTTGGAGCTGTCCTCAATCACGTCTGTCTTCACTTCCTCATCTTCCTCACTCTCAGCCTCACTTGCCTGGTTCTCCTCCTCCTCCTCCTTTGTCACGTCTTCCTTGTCTGAAGCTTTCTCATTGGGGTCCTCGTGTTTTGAACCTTCTTCCTCATCTGAAGTTTCTTCCTTGTCTACTTGCTTTGCTTGATCATTTTCCTTGCCTGAAACCTCTTCGTCAGAGCCCTTTGCCTTTTTGCACTCCTCTGGGTCTGAGAATTCTTCCTCAGAGCCCTTGTCCTTCAAATCCTCCTCTTTTTCTGACAGCTCATCCTCAGAGCCCTTATCATGTTTATCGTCCTCTTGGTCTGAAAGCTCTTCCTCAGAGCCTGTGTCCTGTTTATCATCCTCTTTCTCCGAAAGCTCTTCCTCAGAGCCTGTGTCCTGTTTATCATCCTCCTTGTCTGGAAGCTCTTCCTCAGAGCCCCTGTCCTGTTTATCGTCCTCTTTGTCTGAAAGGTCTTTCTCAGGGCTCTTGCTTTTTGTAGTCTCTTCGCTGTCTGAAATCGCCTCAACCTCTACATCAGAGTCCTCGTCTTTGCTTTCTTTTTTGGGCTCATCCTGCACGCCCCCCCCCCATCCAAATGCATGTGTGAGGTGGTCAACACCTTGCACAGTCAATGGACCCCAAACAACTGCATGTTCAGAATGCTGATCATTGTCCTCGTTTTCATCATCCTGGTCGTCGTCCTCCATCTTATCCTGATCCGTTTCCTTCTCGTCCTCCTCCTCTGTAGGCTTGTCACTCCGACCCACTTTGCCATCTGCTGGTGGCTTTGGTTTCTCATCTTTTGGGCCCTTCTCATCTTCATCTTCCACTTTGTCCTCCTCTGACTCTGAGCTTTCATCATCCTCAGGTTCTTTCTTTGCCTCTTCAGAAGTCTCCTTTTGTTTCTCCTTCTCTGGGGTGTAGTGCCACGTCTTGTTATCTTCTTCCTCCTCCTCGTCCTGCAACGTCTCATCAATTTCTTCCTTTTGGGTATTTCCCTGCCTTGACTCCTCTTCTTCTGATTCACCTTCTTCCCCTTTGCTTTGCTCTTCATCCTCGTCCTCGTTGCTTGAATCCTTACCCTCCACCTTTTGTTCTTCTTCTTTCTCTGGCTCAGAATTTGGCTCCACGTCCTCAGTCCTCATCCTCCTGAGCCTCCGTTTGAATTTTAACAGTGGCATGTCTCCTGGGACTTCTTCACCTTTGTCCTGCACACGAATGTCCAAAAATCAGGCTAACTAATTGAAACCATTCAGATCGAAAAACAACATTTTGTTGCCGTCCCAGTCCAAAAAGTGTTTGTCTGTCGCAGCTTTGGCATTCAAGTACCCAGTGTATTGGATCTGTTTGTCATGGTCATCTTTTGCGTCCAAATATTGGCGCATCGCTTGGCATTCTTGTAGGATAACTTTTTCTTGGGCCTTGTCATCAGAGTCCTCATCATCAGCGATGTCCTGACCAAAAATGGATTTGGGACACATGAAACCTGTTGTTATTCTTGGAATGTCCTGTCCGTCAAAGGTATCCCCTGAATAAACAAAACATTTAAGCTCAGAAAATCTCCTCATCATCAGTTGGAGCCTCAGACTCCCCCTGCTCTTGGTCATCTTGGGCATTTTGGTCAGAACCATCAGCTGTCACGCCAGGAAGCATGCCACACTTCTCCCTTGGAGTGGAAGCTTAAGAGGTAGAGTGACCCCAACAAAGCTGACCAAAGGATTTGGAATAAATTGGCCAAGTAGCATGTCCTCGGGATCTATTTCTGGGATATCGAGGTTCTTATACTCCTCAACTGGTTGAGTCTCCATTGTGTCGATCGAGGTGTTCCTTGGATGTGGTACTTTGCCCAACAAACAGGATCCAAAACCCTTAGAATGCAAGGGAAAACCTGATAATTGATCTGCACGGTGCGAGTTGGAAGCTGATAGCCCAGTCTTGTTCGCCGGGGAGGTGAACACATGGCCTTTGCGATGTTGTTTCGTATGACGGAGAAGTAGCTGATGCACCCTGAAAGCCTGGGTTTGTCACAAAACAGCTGTTTAATGTGTTTCTTAAAGTTCAAAATTGAAATACAATTGTTTCAAACAATACACTTACAAGTGCAAGATCAGAAACTTGCTCGCGAATGAACTCGAATCGGGTCTCCAAATCCCACGTTATACCTAGGCTGCTTTGGAACTGCAGTGCCTCAAGTATCCCCTATCTATTTCATCTCAATTCCACCCCACAAAAAAAGAACAGACATACACACAATGAATCGAAGGTGCCAAGGTGTGTTTTCTGCATCACCTTGAAGATCACACCACGAAGACGTGTCTCCCGAGGGACACGTTCAAGCTTGGAGTGCTGAAAAGCAGACCGCATCCAAAGATTTCTCTTCACCCTGATGCCCCCCCCGGGCACCAAGGCTCTTTCCTGTTTGCACCACTCGACTGGCATTCGTTTGATAATCTCCTTCGCAAACTTCCTTAGTGATTTTTCTATTTCTTCCAAGTGTACTAGTGTACATCCCACAATGCGTGCAGAGTACTTTCTGCATAATATATTGTTTAATTTTTTGAACTAGGCACTTAAGGCTATCATCCATCGCGGGTAAGGTGTGTTCAGCCTCTTTGGAAGCATCACCCATGGCAGCACAAGGATTGGGCTGGAGGTAAAACTTGAATGCGGTTTTGAAAAAGGAGGCATTTCAACTTTTGAGGTCGTGTTTGTAGTGTAATCAGGTGATCCTGTCCCACCTTTCCTGATCTTCATTCATCCTCCTCCGCATCTTTGAGCCGTGCAGGCGGCCAACCTCGACAACCTGAAGCAGATCTTGGCCGCCCTCATTCATCATCATCATTTGTTCCAACCATGTTCTAAGTTCTTTCATCGATAAACACCAATATACAATCCTGGACACCCTAAATCATTCAATTTCATCCTTGAAATCCTAAGGGGTCACCAATTATTTTGACCTCTAAGACCCCTCCAATTAAGACCCCTTAGGGTCTCCTGGTATATGTAACTATATATGGTAAAACCATTGTAAAGCCTCTTCATCTTGGGGGATGCTGGATGAAATCAATGAGTCTACATGAACACCATGGACCACCCCCTCGACTCCCAATCCTACCCGTCTCCGACCAAGGACGTCGTTGTTACGACTCCGACCAAGACACGCAGCGGCGACTCGCGTGTGACGATGCCGTAGGGCGCGTCGGCCAGCTCGATCTCGTTGATCCATTGAGGATATTTCTCATCCACCTTTCCCCAAACCATCCATGGGACTGGAATACATTCTTAACATGGATGGGTCATGCATATCATAGATGGGGTAGATGATCTAATGCATGTAACTATTATTGCAGTCCCATGGATTGTCTAGGTTTTGTGTCGGCGCGACCGCGTGTGTGTTGGGGATTCCCACACGCCCGCACACGCCAGATGTCCGTGGGGTTTGCATGGGCCGAAACCTGGAGTGTAAGTCATCTGAACAGATCCCATGAGGCTTCAACTGAAGGAATCATTCCCAGACACTCCATGGGACTGCCAGTCCGGACTGCCTTCAAAACGGCCAGGGGTGGTTGAAAGGGGGTCAATGGGGGCGGCAGCCTATGGCAGTCCCATGGGTCGTGTCTGGGATTGTGGCCCACAGTTGCCTAAGTGATTCTTTTTCGTGGTCCACGGGCTTCCCATCCAGGGCTTTTGTTCGAAGTCGTCCATCGCGCTTGGTGTTCCTCGTTCGAAGTCGCGCTTGGTGTGAATCCTGGAGGTTCCTTTTGGTTCGAAGTCATCTCAGCAAATCTCAGCAAATGGCACTGCCCGGAAAGAAACACGAATACGGTATAGACTTAAAACCCTAGGGATCCAGTCGTACCGAACCTCAGGTTCAGTACTACTGGACCCGACGTTTTGGCACCTGAAATAACAGTGCCGAACACATCACCTTCTCAAAGGGTATATGTGGATCCCTAGGGAAATAGACACCCTAAGGATCTGAGAAGGTGTTTGGGATGGGTTTGGAGGGTCCAAGTACCTTTTGAGGAGGTACTTGGATCCCTAGGGAAACATGAAAATTGTGATGATGTTTGGAAAAGCTCGTCAAGACCGTCCCCCGAAAGCTTCGGTTCATATGCACGGACATCATGTACTCACGTAGGACAAAGACCAAGCAAACAACATGGTCAATGGTGAGTCATTTGGGTGTCATTTGGTGATTATATAGTAAATGTTACCTATGTTTACGTGTTTACGTATAACCAGAACCCGACTCAACAGGTCACCAATTGAGACCCAGGGCCCAGCAAAATCTCAACTCAAGACATCTCAAGACCATTGTCCTGGTACTTGTTCCATGTGTCTTGCTGCTTATTGAGCGGCTTTGCCTATCTGTCTTGGTCCACCTGAGCTTTGCCTCTCTTTCCTGGTCACATGCAGCGAGGGGCGAGTTTGAGGGTCATCGCCCATACACAGGCCAACCAGTGGCATGCCAAGATGAGGACCAGCAAGAAGCGGAGCAAGGCCACGTGCTGGTAGGGGATTGAGACTGGAATTTCGATTCCTGAATGGATTGGAAGCGAGGTCGTGAGCCGTGAGGACTTCGATCTGATGAACACCCCCTCTATCATGAGTGGGATGAAGCATCCAGAAATAGGGAGACCGGGAGACCTCTCGGTCTTCACATTCACACCCAAACACTTGCCCAGAACATTGCCCCGAAAAGAAGAACATGAATCGATGTTCACTGGCCAGTTGTGTTGCTTCGTTTTTGGTACAGCTGCAGTTCGTTTCTGTTGTCCTGTCGCCACGCATCAACCCAGTGGGAGTCCCGTTGGTATACCGGTTTTGGTCCTCAGCCACCGGTTGAACAGGTCCACATGGGATTCGTCCTGGCGAAAATTCGCCCAATGGGCGACTAGACTGGTCAAAGCTTCAGGAATGTGCATGGCCCCTGTATCTCCGCATGATCCGGGAATGTGGGGAGCGACCTCGTGTCACCGAAAACAAGGCCGATACTCAAGGGTGATGCCAGCAAACGTTGAATACATCGTCATACTCTCACCTTCATGTATGTAGCTCATGTAGCTCCAGAACGTGCACCAAGCACGGGGTGCAAACGAAGTGAGAACAACAGGTTCCCCTCCGTCGCTCTTTCCACACAACTCCCAAAAACATAGCAACCACCATTGGCCCTGGCGGAATTCTTCGAGCATCGATGAGTGAGCTTGGAGCTTCTCAACAATCGCATCCTTGGCTCACAAGGAATCAGTCAGTCGCACTGACTGGTCGAACGAACTGAGTCGACTCATGTGAGCCCTATTGAAATCCCATATGAATTGGAGTCGTCTCACTCCTTGGCGTGGTGGTACGAGTCCGAACCTGGGGAGTAGGTGGAACCGGCTCCCGTCGGGCTTGGGGAGCTGACCCGGCGCCGCCGTCACCGGAAGGTCCCCCGTTGCGGCGTACGCTCCTCTCAGGGAAGAAGCCCTCCAACACTCCCTGGAGTCTCAGAACAAGTCTGTCTGAAAGCCGGGTTAGACTGATTCAACCCGTGGCTTCTTTTACTCAATTCAATTTATGTCTGACCTCTTCCAAACCACCCCTGCCGTCGATGATGCGGCTCGGGCGCAACTTCAAGAGGCGCAGCACGCGGATGATTTTGATGCTGCGCAGGTCCTTCAAGCGATCCGCCCCTGCGAGCAGGCCGATGGTGTCCAGCGGGATCAGCGTCGCAAAGTCCTCGACGCGGAGCACCCGGACTTGAGGGTTGGAGCTGAGGTGTGAGGTGATCGTTGTGGTTTCCAGAAGTTCGATGGCACTGGCACCCCAAGAATCCCCTAAGACGTCTGTCGACAGGTCCATTTTCCGCCGACCTTGGGGAATTGCGGCCCTCTACTCCCAACTGGGCCCAACGTTGAGAGGTCTTCATCAAGTGCATGAGGATGGCTCGCCATTCTAACTGAAGGGTAGGTCTCATCTTCATCAATCTTCAGTTAGAGGTTTGGAAGAGGAGATGTCTCGCAGCTTTTCCAACTTCGGCCAAGCATCTAGGCAAAACCAGGTCATCATGTAATGCTTCGCAATCTTTGAGGGCCGGTACTCCAATTCCATGCCCCGCGCAGTTGTGCGTGGGTACATGGTAATGAACTGAAGTACCATGTCCTGGCGAATGGGGACGACTGCATAGAGCATCTTGGAATGAATGAATGAATGAATGAATGAATGAACGACCAAGTGAAGAAATCCATTATAGCAGGCAGGAAACAGTAGAACATAGTAGAATAGTGGAACTATACTGGAGGCGTAGTCATGGCAAAAATGCTTGCAGTAGAACTAAAGCTACTAGGGGCTCCTGGCCGTACTGCCAGGAGCAAGGACGCTACTAGGGGCTCCTGGCATCGCTGCTAGGAGCATTCTTACTAACCAGAAGCTACTAGATGCTACTAGTATGTCTTTGAAGCTACTAGTCACAAGAAACCCCTAGGAGCAAGAAGCTTCCTTGGGAATCGTTTCACCTGTAACAAAGAAGCTATCCCATAGGCTCCATGGGACTGGAATATATGCCGCCCCATTGACCCCCCTGGCACCACCCCAACTGATCGGCAAATATGGCAGTCCCATTAGTCGCGTCTGGCTAGTTGGTCCCTAGGGATCCAGTCGTACCGAACCTCAGGTTCGGTACGACTGGACCCGACGTTTTGGCACCTACATGTCTCAGTGTCGAACCGTCCTCACCGAACCTGGAACCTGAGGTTTGGTATGACTGGATCCCTAGAAAGTATCCACTTCCGGAACCCCAAGGGGGGCCAACTGGTGGCACCGCGATCACCGCTGGGGCACTGCGGAACCCCACGCGCCGGGGCGAAGTGGCGAAGCGCTTGAAGCGGTGTTGTCATGGTGCCGGTGCCCCAAAACATCCACTCATGATTGTAGACTCATGAGATCTCATGAGTGTAGACTAAGTTGATACATGGATCTTATAATATCCAGTAACCGTGGACGATGATGGTTGGTATTGTAAAGGCCTTGTTCAAACATAGTGATGATGCAACTCTTGGAGGTGGTGGTCACTGAAAGCTGGGTCCACAGGGTCATTTCCTACCACAACCTGACAACCAAGCAACACCAAGAAATCAATGACTCTGCCCTAGCCTTCCAAGGTCCAAGACCATGAACAGAAAGCTTGACCTGGTTTTGTAGCAAAATTCTTAGTCAACAATGGTTGTTCCGTAAAGGGCTATTATATAAATCAATGGTTGGTCGCAAGCCTAGACTATGACCAAGAACGCATGGAGTTGGATCCCTTCCGCAGGGTGTCACACTCTGGGACAGTGATCTCTTGTTTTGAGCTCTCCATGTATGGCCTATATAACTACATTGGGGGGGTTGGAGAGCCTTTCTGGGGCGGCATATGTTCCAGTCCCATGGATGGTCTAAGCCTAAGCTCTCTCTCTCTCTCCCTCTCTCTCTCCCTCTCTCTACGTGCTCTTTTCACATCTTTTCAGTGCCAAGGATCAATCATGAAGACGATGTCCACACACCTTCGGCGGCTCCATGGACATGATCACACACACCCCAGCACCGTGGGAGAAACACTCCCGAAACGACATGCAGATCCACGTGATTGACCAGGTAATTTGTACCGTAGTAATTAGTTTGATTAACTTCATTTAACTGGTACAACCGCCCCCCACAAGGAGATGCAAAACCATTCTGGTAGGGGGGTTATCAATCAACAGGTCACATTGACGGTCAAACACGGCAACTGGGCAATACGAGTCTCCACGCGTGTCCCCACGAAATGACCCTCCCTTCAAATAGCATCGACAGGCTCGACAGGGATCAAAGAACTCACCTGACCAACTTGGGGGCAAACACCCGCCCACTTAAGCTTGGATTTGCTTAAGGAAGCTGGAAAGAAAACAATATTCCCCTGAAGGGGTTTTGCTCGTAGGGAACCTGATTCGCAAAACCAGGCCTTGCGCAGAATAAGACCCCAGAACTCGCCTAATGCTGCCGGTCACTTCCCAGTTTTTCGCGCTCCCAAGGCACCAGGTAATGACAAAGAGAGCATCCCAGTCGATCTCAAGCAATCCCACCTGCGGCGGAGGGGCCGCCGGCCGCCCAAACGCCGCCGGGCTGGGGGCCGCACTGGGGGTCGCTGGGGTTCGGGTCACCTAAACTACCATTTTTTAAGCACCATCTGAGGCTTCGGTGTAGTTTATGTTGGTGCAGCAAACGTTACCTTTGGTCGTATACTATACTAATTAATGTCATCAAATCCAAGCGCTCCGGAGCGCATGCGATGCAGCTGCTACCCTCCGACGAACACATCGCCCGAAACGGGTGGAAAAACAATGTTCCTCTACCAAGTTCCATGTTAGTAGGTCGGAGTGTAATCACTTGGCTCCAGTGTCTGCACAAGGCCAACGTTGTCTTTTTCTCAAGGTCAGGCCCCTGAGCGGGCGAAGCAAAGGGTTCGGTTGGTGTCTCACCGCGCACCCACTTCTTGGAGACGTGTTCACTGAATGAACTCGTTGGATCACAAGCACACAAACCATTCGGGGAGGCTCGGAGGGAGAGGTCCTTCCAGAGCGGAGGTTTGAAACGGGCGGGCGGTCGCCGCGTCGGCGCAGTCGGATGGAACAGCTCAAATGACACAAGTGGCTCATAGTGGCTCAGAGTGGGTTGCTGTTTCCACCAGCTGGCGATCAGTCTGCTGGAGAAAGCGGACTGAAGCGCGTTTGCAACACCAAAGACTAACATGCTTGCGCCAGCTACATGCAATCACCCCAGTTCATGAAACACCCTAGCTACATCGCTCGGCCTGGAGAGGTGTCACCAATGCGACGAAGGCCAACGCGAAGTTGGTCACCACTTGCCACCTAGGCTTGAAGGAAGCCGGGACAAGAATCTATCAAACATCCCCGCCAACATCACGCCAAAGATCACCCAGCCAGACTCTAACCAGACCTGCATGGGAACCCCTACAGTCCCTCCATACGTTCAATCCTTACGTACTCTCCATCGGTTCGCACCGCCCAAAAGAGAAGGCCCACGGCCAGCCGGCCGCCCAAACCAAGCCACACGTGGGAGAAGCGGTTGCTGTCCGGATTGATGACCCACCAGGGCCTCTGAGCCTGGCGCGCGGCGGCTCCGGCTCGACCCGACCTCCGCGACGCGATATAGCGATATAGGTCGCCGCCCAGGGGGGAAGAGGTCGCCCAGGTGACGTTCTCTTCTTTTTTGGGGGGGGAGGAGTTTACCTACATGGGTGTGAGAGCCCAGGTGACGTTTTGCTTTGGGGGAAAAGGAAGAGTTTACAGTTACCTATAGCCTATATCGCTGTGTAATTTAAGGGAGACTGAGACCACCAACCAATCCGTAGACTGAGTCCCAACTGGGAAGTCTTCCAAAACTTACACCTTAATGGATGGATGATGAATTTGTCGGTTTTCTTCATGACGTTATTTTTGTATGTATTCCAGTCCATGGTGTATATATCCCAAGCATGGACTGGAAGAGACTCAAATACACCTCGTGCACCGATGTGCAAGTAGCATTCCCCAAACTGTCTGGCAGCATTCGGGCCACCCGATTCCATCGAATTCAGGGGTGCCAATCCCAGACATGGGCCTCCATGGGACTGCCATAGGACTGCCGATCAGTTGGGGGTCAATGCCGATCAGTTGGGGGTCAATGTAGGGCAGCATGTATGGCAGTCCCATGTTTCGTTTCTGGGAATGGAAAGCATATGAAAGCATCTTGCACTCGAGACTCATCGGAGTTTCGCAAGTTCGACACGATTTGCGAGGAGAGGTTGAACATGGTTGAACTCTCTACTTAGGAACTGCTGCTCCTAGATGATTCCTAGGCAATAGATCAAACATTGATCTTTTTTTGATCAAATCTTCGTCCAACAAACATTTGGTCCATCAGGCTCAACTCGCCATAGGCGCATACTTTGGACCTACCAAGCAGTCCGTGAATCTTCCGAGAGGCTCTGCGAAAAATCACCGCAACCTAAATGACACAGAAACACGCTCCAAACATCGCTGCTGCCCACCTTCTCCAAAAAACCACCTAACCACAATGACTTATCAATGACATTACGTTGCTACTTGATCTCCTCGGTCCGCCGCGGTCTCCCCCGCGCCGCGAACTCAATGGTCTTCTCTGCCCGGAGCACCTGCACCGGAGCGGAGGTGGAACGACGGTGTCGTACCCGGTCGCAACGGTTGGGTACTTGAGGCTAGTAGCAGGTCAAAACCTCTCTTGGGAGCAGGGAGTCACGCTGCACTCGCCGGATGGTTTGGTTTTCTCAAGGTGTTGGTTGTTTTTGTGGCTTTCCCATTGCCAATGACATTGAGGCAGCTTTCAAATGCACATGGCATAAAGGCAACAACAGTGGAAAGTTCATGTCGCACACAAACAAAGAACATTCAGGCAGATTGATGCAGAAACTGCAGAAACATAGAACACACACACTCTGGCGGTCCCCTGTTTTAAAATTCAAGGTCAACCGAACTTTCTATCTGTTCTTCGTTTGGTGGGGTTTCACCACTTGCCCCCACCATACTTCCTGGCTATGACCCGATAAAACAATCCAAGGCACGGAGAGCTGCATCTTCTCGGCCGCCAGCAGTTTCGTGGCATCCGCCAGGGAGGCCACAGATGCTTGGCTTGGCCGTTGGGGTCGGAGCAGCGAGGGAGGCGGATTGGGCACCAGAGGGTCCTCAAGCAGCGGAAGGGATTCAATACGAAGCTAAACTAGTAATGGCCTCCAACCTCAGAGCAATGGCCCTGGCCTCCAACCTACTAATAATTCCAACCTACTAGCGATGGCCTGAAGGATGCTGAAGGCAGCTGTCAAAAAGGTACCACGAATGAAGGGTGGGTGGGGAGAAAGGTTCCGAACATAGGCCCATATGATTTGTCTAGTCTACTGCCTGCAACTCCAGAAAGACATCAAGATCTGGCAAGGGGGGCGGTGTGAGTGAGATGAAATCCGCATTTTTGTGCATGCCGCAGCCCCAACATGACTCAACCTACACTTTCAAACAAGCAAACGCACAAAGGACCCTCTCAACTAACTCCCTCAGTTTATCCTGAAAAGTAGAGGCTAACTAACTGTTTCCCCGTGTTTCTGTTGAGTGGGGCAAGCAATAGGGACCCAACATGACAAACATTAGATGAGACAAGACTTAGGACTTAGGCCAGTGAGAACACGTCAAGCGTCCACCTCCATGGAGTCCATGACAGACACACGGGAGCCTCGCTCGTGGTAGTTGCGTGGGATCACCTCGGGCGTCGGCAAGCTGCGCCAGCCATCCAGAAGGTCAGGATAGTAACCCCCAAATAGATGGAAACGCTTCAGTGGGGATCTACTTTTCCATCGATATCCCCTAGGGCTCCAAGTACCTCCTCAGAAGGTATCTGGACCCTCTAAACCCACCCCAGTCACACCTTCTCAGAAGGTACGACTGGAGCCCTAGGGATCTATATTATGTTTTGGGGGATCTATGTAATCAGGCCTGGACCCTTCACAGGATCCTGGTCCCGTGGTCTCGTGGTCTCTGACTTCGTTCGCACCCGACCGACGGTTCATGAGACCGTGACCTGCACGAAAAGCACTATATATAGGTACGATTGTTATACAAGGACCTGTTATTCCTGTGGTATGAACAGGTCGAGAACCGTTCGTTCATTCATGCGATGCCGGACGACTTCCTATAATTAGAACCTCTCTCTCCTTCCGCATTCAAGAACAAGACAAGTTCCAGCTCCACAGTCCTTTCTCCGACTTCGACAAACTCACTTCTTCTCAGCTCGCCCCATCGGCGCACCGAACGCGTGACGTCACGCGCGCGAGGCCCGTCGCTGCCACGAAGGTGCATTGGGAACGACGTCTCCACCCTCCACCTCGATCGAGTCTTCGCTGTCGCGACTGGCGTGGCTGAGCCGACCCTTCCGCGCTGCTTCCGCGTCCTGCGAAGGCGGCCCTTCACGCGGCGGTCCAAAAAGGACGCGGCAAGTTGGGAAAAGTGGGACTGACTGGAAAAGACCTGGAACTGATCAAACATCACAAGAAGCAACTTCGGATTTTGATTGTCGTTGGCTAGGGTATGCTGATTGATTCATGCAGCTTCCGCGTGCGTACTCAAAGAAGAATTCATGGATCCAGAACATACGAGTACGTGGACTCCATGAATTCCCTGTGGAAGTAGCTCCAGTGACTGAAACACATTTCAATTGTCAAACAAAGACGTTTGTGCTGAACCCAACAAGTTCCTCTGCCATCCTGTAGGAGATGAGGAAAGCCAACAAGCAATAGGACCATAGGAAACTGGACATCTCATCGCATTGGTTCATGTTATGTTCGTACTAGTGAATTCGTGTTCTATCTATCTATAGAATCTATATACTCCACCCTACAATGGTTCGGGCCCAAACCCCTGCGAAGAGGGAGGGCCCGACAGGGCAGGACCTGGATGGCTGTAGTTTGGACATGTCATTGCCTGAGACCTTGGACCGTTTCCCACGATTTCATCGTCGCAAATCCGTCTGACGCCACATCGTTTCCGCCACATGTTGGACGAACAGCCGAGTGGTTCCCAAAATGCACCCCACATCCGCCACTTCCTTCAACCACTACTCAAGGAAGAACATTCTGAGAATTTGGCAGGTTGGAAACCTCCTGAAACTCCCCACAAAACACATCCGAAACCTGCCCCCCAAAAAAACGTCGACGCAATTTGAAGCGAAACGACCCCCAAACTCGTTCCCATGATGGCCCAGGAATCCAGGAGTTGACGATTCTTGTCTTCCAAATCTTTCAGTTGCGCAGCTTGTTGTTCCAACCTCGCCGCTTCTTTGTACGCCGGTTTTGGAGAGATCTTCAATGACACGAAGCGGCGCCCGAAACCCAAAAGAGTCAATTTGGAAGAATCGTATAGGTGTTGGGCCCAAACGGTGTAGCCCCAAGGCACATCGGACACAGCTTACCATGAGTGGAAAGGGGTTCGACATGGACGGAACCCATTTGCCATTGAAGTGTTGGGTCTAAGCGGTCTAAGCACCTCTAAGGAATCTTGGAATACACCAAAGAATGGACTACCCTGAGCCCGCACTACTTAGGGATCTCCATTACACACCAATTGGATAGTTCAGGCAATTCGAACACTTGAGGTCACATCAAAATGCATCATGTTTTGGATGAGTCAGCATGCTCAACCCAATCGTAAGACCTAGCAGGTTCGGCCTTCCGAAGCTGCCCGTGGTTGCATCAAGAACTCCGACCCTGATAATCTACCCTCCGTAAGAATCAAGGACCCTCAGTTCGGTGAAGGTTTGGTTCGGGTCCAAACCCCTGCGTTCTGCAGGGTCAAAACCCTCCATAGGAGGGTCCAGTGATTCTTAGGGCTAATTGAAACCTATAATAATTCTGGAGTGTTTTGACCCCCGCCTTCCCCGGCCTTTGGACCCTTAAAAGCTTCACCCAATTGCGTACGTTAAAAAAAAGCACGCGCGGAAGGACGCGCGGATTTACCACCTCTGAAACCCTAGGGCTCCAGTCGTACCTCCTCAGAAGGTATGACTGGACATATTTGGAGCTTTCTGGCACCTACCCCAGTCCCACCTTCTTAGAAGGTACGACTGGAGCCCTAGGGAAAAGCTTGCTCAAAGCCCAACGAACGGCCAACACGCCGAATCCGAGCAACTCTTGGCCCAGTTGATCCAGCAGCTGTCGCCAACGCTCCGTCATGGCCGACTCGGATTCTTCGGAGCGATCGGAGGCGGCGAGCGCGGCGGAATCGGAGCGAGCTGCTCTTGTGGCACTGGTGGCCCTCACTTCCCCCCCGTTTGGAGCCCAAGCTGGCGGTAGGGGCGAGCGATCCAAAGGCGGTGCAACGAAAAAGAACGCACCACGGGCCCTTGGGCCCTCCATGGGGGACGGAGCCTCCATAGGTTTGGACCCCCTTTCACCAAACTCTTTCCATTGGAGAAGGGCCCGGGTTGGTGCAGGTCGAATCTCTCCGATCGAGTACCTCATGGTCGTCATGGTACACGACTTCTCCGGAAAACCACCCGGGGAGAGCATCCCCGGTGTCACCGCGGGTTTTGTCCTCCGTCGCCCGGCGGGATGAGTCTGGAGGTCGGATGATGCTCATGCCTTTGTGTTATCCACAGGTGCCCTGGGCTCCAAATGTCCAAAGCTCGCTGATTTGCGGAAAAGCGGGAGGAAGGGGTGTGTTCATGTGATGGAATCCTTCGATCTTTTTTGCCTTGGACTCATTCAAGTTGAGCAGCGTTCTTCCGAAGCCATCCTGATCTTGGCACCAAGAAGAGGTAAAAACAAAACTCAGACCATTTCATATGGAGCACTTAGATATACAAATTGACCCCTAGAACCTGATTGACCCCTGACTGTGTTGGAGCCAAAAGGGTTTTTCTATCCAAACAATGGTCAAATGGGTTCTAGGTATATATAATCGATATACCCATGCACTGCAATTGACTTCATCCCTTCCATTCCGGATACTCTGAGAGTTAGAAGAAACACCCAACCACACCTCAAGCGCAGGAGCGCGGACGTGCTGGAGCTGTGCTGCGGAACGGCACCACGGGTGGAGGCCGCCTCGGTCCGGGCCGCCACAGGGGTGCCCTGTCTGGAAGCCATCCTAGGATCCGTGTGGAGTAGTCCAGCCAGGACACCCCTGTCGGGTCGGAGGGTCCTGGTAGAAAATCACCTAGTCCGCCAAACCCTCAGGTTTTTGCCCCCAAAAGATCGACACAAAAGATCCACAGACGACGAGCAGCACCAGAACCGTGTTTGTCCGCACCGAGCAAGCACCATGGATTCCCCCCCTCTCATGGGCACAATCAAGCAGGAAGTTATACCAAGCAGGAAGTTATCCACTACCAATCGATACTTGAGGGCTCTATAAAAAAGAAATACAGCAACCTACTATTACTATATAGAGTGGAACAGGCAGTCACTCTGCATTAAGGTGCCGGAACCCTACCAAAAGCCTATATACAAATGCCTGCCAAGTTAGCATATTGCATCCAGCTGGGCAACTACCCCCTGTGGTTGGGCAACCCTTTTTTTTAAGCCCTAAAGCCTTCTTGTTTCTGACCCTAACCTCTTTTTGACACTGGAACCTGCTGTTTTAACCCTGCAACCTGCATGGTTTTACACTCAAACTTGTTGTTCTAACCCCGCAACCTGTTAAACCCTAGACGAATCTTTTCTAACCCAAGGTTTTAAAAAAGGTTTTGGTGTGACCAACGGGAGCGGAAGCGGAAGCGGAATCGCCTTTTTCAAATTGGTCACCCCACGAGTTGCGGAATCACGTCCGTGAGCGCCAGAGCAAGTCGACTTGCGCTGTGTGTGTTGGTTGTGTATTGTGTGGTTGTGTTTTGTGGTTGTGTTTCCCATGCACTCCATGTGTGCCATACCTACATTGAACCCCTGGCACCACTCCTGGCCTGATCGGCAGTCCTATGGAGCCTCTGGGTTTTTGTATTGTGTGGCCGCTTGCGATCTGGAGCTTGCTGTTGAGGCCGTGAACTGTAAAGATTGTGCAGGTTTCATGGCGCGGGCGCAGCCCAATTGGTCCTATAACAAGATTGCGTTTGGAGCGCCTGGGGCCCCTTGGTGCCACCAAGCATTAGAAAAGAATGTAATGGAGTTAAAACAAAGAGTGCCTGGTAAAAAAAAGGAAAGAGTTCGAGGGTTCAAAAAACATGATCCTTCGGTAAAGAAATAGGAATAAGAGGAGTCAATTGAGCAGACTTTTTGCAAAACTATGTACAGTATATATCTTGTCGAACCCAAGGTAAAAGTAGCGACTAGGGCGGGTAGAAAAATTGTTGGAGTTACTGTACCCAAAAAATGTTGGTGGGTTTAAATAACACATCCAGCCCTACTGTCTTTGGACAATAATGATCCTTCCACGGAAGCCAGCCGCCAGCCCTTCCTTACCGAAACCACAAATCCTCCCAGGTAGGAGGGTGAACATAAAACATCATAAAACCTTGTGGCGTAGCATAGAAGTCGAAACCATCCAGATCTCCACACCCCAAACTAGATGACCCACATTAAGCAGGTCCCCCCAAGCAAACTTCAACCCCACCATCTGTCCCCACCGTCCTTTCCTTGGACACTGGACACCTTTCTCCGCCGTCTCGCCCTTGGCGCCGGACGCGGACAGAGGCCTGACGCTCGGCAGCCATGGTGCGGTCGTCCGTGGGCAGGGCCGAGGGTTGGTGATGCGAGGCCTGGCACGACACCGAGGCGACCAGGTCACTGAGGTCATTGGACTGGAGTTGATTATATAGAAGCCTCTACGGGTCCCTAAGCCAAAAGGCGCCTCATAGTTAGAGCTTTGACCGGGTTTTGGACCTCACTCTGGGCTCACTGAATCTCATTAATGAGGTTTTCAGGATTTTTCAGGACCTGTAGGCTTGCTTTCTTGCACGGAAGAGGCGTCTTCCCCAAACAAACCAGCGCTAACCTGGCTGTGTCCAATCTCCAGCGAACTTGAAGCAGCTGGAAACCTGCATTGAATCAGATGTTGGATGATTTTGGTGAGAAATGTCCGGGTGCTCCGGCTGAAGGACCCACGAACAAACGTTTGTCTAGGTCCTTACGTCCTCCAGGGTTCGGTCTAATCCTGGAAGTGGGGGACGCTCACCTGGAAAAAACGCAGGGTCTGGTCATCCTGGTGCAAAGAAATAGATGTTGGCCGCTCCTATGTCCATGTTCACCCCCAAAGCAGCCTTCTTTGGAGATTGTTGAAGGTGTGTGGGTCACCCATCCTGACTTCCCAGGGATCCAGTCGTACCGTCTCAGAAGCTATAGGTACTTGGACCCTCCAAATTTGCACAACAGTGTCCCTGGGTCCCTAATTACCTTCTCGGAGGGTATGTGTGGATCCATATAGGGTCTCAAACAGGTCAGAATCTCTCAGCTTTGTTGGGAAGCTGCTGCGGGCTGTTGCTTGAAGACCTGGCGGCAGGCGAAAGGCAAAGACCTGTAGGATAGCTCATGCAGACGAAGTGAAGAAGCCAGAAGTCCTCCAAATGCCAGCATATAGCAGCACCTTCCAAGAGGTGCCCTACAAGGTCCCTACACAAATCGATCTCCATTGGAGAACAATGAGGCAGGTCCAAATAAATGTGGTCGAATTCCAGTCCCGTTGACACCACAAATGCCACATCGATTCTGGAAGCCTTAAAATTCAAAGGACTCAAAGTCTTCCACCCGGTGACTCGGAACCCACCTGGGCTTGCGGAGCAGCCCCCTCACAGGGGAGCTGGGTGCTGGTGACGGTGTGGCGGGGCCGTCCTTGGGGTCGAAAAGGCCCCTGGCAACGGGGCGGGAGCGGCCCATAGACATGGAGCCTGCAGTGTGTGCTATACGCTGCTATATATAGTTGCCGTCAGTGCTTTGTGGTGGGGCGGGCAGTCAACATATCGGATGGTTTATGAACAGTTAAGAGTAGATATATAAGTAGACTGACCAAGAAAGGACAAAATGACTCAGCTGCAGCTGCCAAGGCCGATGATGCACACGCTTTGACTCAACCCTCCTGTAGCGGACGGGCACCTGATTTGCCCTGAAGGAGGCGGCGTTTCTCGCGCTCCTAGCCGCCACTGGCCATGAAAATCACAACATGATGAACAGTATTAATTTTCCAAAACAGTATGGCTCCTCCAAAGCAATTCAGCAACGTAATACATTGCGATTGCTGGAAAAGCCTCATCTACACAGTGCCGTATGAGAGGTCGCCCATTGAGGATGGTAAACCTATGCCTACCAGTCAGGAACTGACCTTATTTGACTTGGTCCGGTCCATCGAACAAAATAAACACGACTCAATGAGATGTACCCAGAAGACTGGACTTGCTCACATCATCACATCATCACATCCGCGCTCGTCTCCTTCGGCAGACTGAGGCCTGCCGAGACTCATCAGCCAAACCAAACCCAAACTGCCAAACACGACACTTAAGGCATAGGATGGGTGGTCTTAATGTCGACTCTTGATTCATTTGTGTTGGAGGCGTGTGCAGGCGAAGATGTTAGTAACATCGTGACCTCTCCTTTTGGTTGCGTATGTTCATGTACGTTGGCAAAATGCCTGTCACACGGCATCTATTCCAGGCCGCGCGGTTTCCAGGCCGCACTGGCTTCGGATAGGTCGTACTTTCCCTCAAGGGGCCCCATCATCGGTGCTCTTCCTCGCTTTACTAATTGAATTGAACTCACCGAGTTGGCCGCACTGATGGAATCTGGATGTTTGAATACATCTCGTGGGAGATTCCCTTGTGATCCCTTCAGTGGAGGTCGTTGCTCCGTTGCTGCATGTGTGTGTGTGTGTGGGTAGTTTGCTTCAGGTCCCTTTCACCTATATACTACAGTAGTTTCTCTAGCACTGTTCGACCATGAGTGTCAGCAGTGACGTGCGCTGGTCCCAACAGGGGACGTCGTTCTGGACAGGCTGCGAGGGTGGTCTTAAAGAGGTCTTTCAATCCAAATGCGGGCTTATTAATCAAGAGTCTATACATTGTATAAAGAAAACCCGGGGGTTGACTGCAGAACATCAACAGGGGGAAGTCAACTTCTTAGGAACTCGCTTCCAGCTTCCACGGACGGCCGAGTGGACGGCGGGAGGTGGTCTGGAAAGGAGTTCGGCGAACTGAGCAAACTCCACCTGTTCATGTGAAAGATAGGGTGTCCGCCCGAAAAGCATCCCAAACCCCCCCCGAACCCGCCAGAAAAGGTAAGTATAATCCACTTTTCCATACTTTTCCTGGGTTATAGGTGTTATATTGAGTTTGCATACAACTTTATCCCCCCAAGCTTTTA